CTGGGGTGGGATGATGCTAAATCTGAATAGGGAATGTTTTCATTTCTGACATTTTATGTATTGGTAACCCTTGATGCACAGTAAAATTAGTGGCTGCATGTTTTTTCTGGTTCTGTTCTCTGTAGCACATGGCCAACAGGTCCTGTTAGTTCTCCAGTTTGGGTGGATATGAACTCAGAGGTAACGATCCACATGTTGTCATCCTTTCTGCTTTGTCGGGGGGAAGGGGTAGAGAGGGAGCTGTGCATCTCAGTTGGCTAATGTGGGGTGCTATGGGCAGCTGACTTGAAGCACAGACCTTGCTTTGAAGCTCCAACTAGCACGTCACTCCAAGTCTCTTCTTTATGGTGTATGTAGAGGGAGAAACCCTTGCCAAGATGGCACTCTAAGAACTGAGGGTTCCTTATTGTTCTAGGAGTAACTGGCAGATACTCAAAGTCCTATTTCCCTGGTGCCAATAGAGCAGCAAACTGGAATTCTTTACTCCCAATCACCGTTGTGGTTTCCTTTCTTCAGCAGCTGTTCATTTAACACAAAGTGTTTGTGGCTAACACAGCTGAATTTGCCCATTTGAGGGAGAAAGAGGGAAAGTAATACTTTCAGCCCAAATCCAATTGGAGAACTGAAACTGAGGAGCTGGGAGGAGGGTCTTCTTAAGCTGCCTCTGTTTTCTGCCCTTTTGCAACAGAGGGAGCAGAACCAGTAGCAACCTGTTACTTGTTTTCAGGGTAGTAGCTAATTGACTACTAGTTTGAGTGTACTTAACCAAAATAAGAGGTTGATAGCATTCTTCCCCTGTGCTCTTGTAACTGCTTCCCTGAGCTGGTGCTGCACCAGGGGTGCAGACCAAAGTCTAATTGTATTTTCTTTTCTCTCCCTTCCCATATGCATTGATGAAGCTTCCTGAAGGTGAGTTGACATTTTACAGTTGATAATGGAAATGTCTTAAACATAATTATTATGTTTTGTTTGTCTTTTTCAACAAACTTGAGGAGTAGGAATTGAAACTGCATTTAGCAAAAGGCAAAGTACGATGCTAAAGCCTCTGTCCAGCATCTTAGAGAATGAATTTAATCTGCATCTGATAGCCACTATCAGACACGCTGGAAAATCCCTGCAAATAAAAGTTGTAGCTGAATATTTATGCAGAAAGAAACTTTAATTTGGGGACACTTTCTGTAATTTTGATTGATTAGTGCTTGATTATTGTTACATGGACTCTGGAGTTGCAGACATCATTGTTGCCTGTGGTTTCTGAGAGTTAAAAAACAAACAGTATTTCTTGACCCTTTGGATGTTATAGACCAGGCCATTAAAAATTGATCTCCTTTGAACTTGGGCAATATAACTCCATTGTCAAGTTACCTTAACTCAGGAGAGAGATGATGACAATTTCTAAGGAGACACTACTTTAAACCACTTTATAAATTCCAAGGACTGTTCTTAACAAGACTCATTTGATAGAAACTGCCTTTGAGTGAGGAGGTTTGGTTTGACACAGACAAAAAGAGTGCAACAGTTTAGCATCATACAGCAGCAAGGAAGCACAACAGCTCTGGAATATATAGTTTTAGATTTAAGCATCTCTTCAATCTCTTATGAAGGTTTCTGAACAAAGCACTCTGTGTTTTACCAGGCCTTTTTGTTGTGCTATGTCACCAGAGGTGCTATGTCACCATGCTCCTTGGAAACTTGACTGCAGTCCTCTCTCTCCACTATCACACAGCAATTGTTGCCCTTCCTGGCCATAGGATTGCAGCAGACACGTTTAGTAAGAAGGGGGTGGGGGAGCTTCCCTTTACAGGGCAGCTTTTTTCACAGGTAGTGTAAGTCTATAGAACTTATACATTGAGAATGTCTTGGGTCACCTTTTCAGCTGTTTGTAGGGTGAATAGGGCAAACGCTTTGTGTTGGTCCATAGCAGAAATGTCTGGAAAGTGTCTGGAAGGCTTCAGTCTTAATATTTGGGAAACTAGTTTGTTTAAGATTGCATTTAACCCAGGTGAATAGAGTTCATTTAAAATAGGAACCATTACAGACTATTTATGATAATGCATTTGAAGGGTAGTTCCGGGGGAAGAGAGAATAAGAATTTTAACTTATCAAAATTGAATTACAGAGTATATACAACAAATGAGAAATCTTTCACTGAGAAGCCATCAACAGTCAGACAGTTCTGTACTGAGTGGAGATGATGAAGATGACACAACAGTAAATGATATGTATGGGACTGCTACAGCATCTGAACGACAGGTATCACCAGAAGAGCAAACTGCGAGTTCAAAGTATGTATGCCTCATGACCTACCAAACACTGAATTTGCTTTTTAAAAAAATTTTGTATAGATAGGACTAAGTTATACTGCCACGGCCTTCACTTACTCTACTTATTTCCCTTTTTCAATGAGGATAACATCCTGTATTGCATGATGATCGAATTATACCATTTGCACTTTAGGAGAAAAATGCAGCCCAAGACAGATGCATAGCTTTGCATACAACCTTAAAGATGAGAGTGGGGGTATGGCAAGGAAGGGAGATAAGTCACAGGCTGTAGCTTACAATGTATTGTCATTTACTTTTTATGCCAAGCTCTGGTAGTGATGTTAGATACAGCAATACTTTCATTGGTATGGATGAGGCTTGGCATCATGAGACCAGCAGGCAGCAGCCGGGCAAATTCTGTGCTGGTTTTAAATAAAACTGGTGTGCTTTGAGCCTTTTGGATTACTGAAAGGCAACATAGGAGAAAATTAAAAAAGGAATATTGTGTTCTTTCGGTCTCAAGCTTCTCCACTACAGAATGCACCTTCCTGCTCTGTTCAGGTGAGGCTGAAAGAGCTCAGAGCTGCAGTATTTAACACTGACCAAAGGGTCCTTCCTGGGGCTGGAGCTTGCCAGAGTTAACATCTGCAGTGTTACTCTGTAGTGTCAGACCTCATTCCCTTCTGGGGTGAAGAGTTCCCAGAGGACAGCTAGATCCTTCAGTTACAAAGCTGTTATTGATGACCTGTTGGAGGTTAATGCTGCCATACATAGGCAGCCCAGTGCTGGAGACTGCTGTTAATTCAAATCCTAGAGCAAGGCAACTGACTGCATCTTTCTCCCACTGAAAACCAAGATGCCGTTTCCGTTAGGACAGGGAGCTCTGAACTCCTCATTACATGCAGCAAACTGAGTTACAGATTTGCGGGGTTCTTCAAAAGAAATGCATCGTGGCTACTCAGTGCAGTCAGATGATTATGTGACGTTTTATGTATCAGTAACCCTCAATGCCCGGCGATAGTAATGTCTGCTTGTTCTTTCTGGATCTGTTCTCTCTAGTGCATGGCCACCAGGGACTATTTGGTGTCCAATTTGCATGGATTTGTACTCAAAGGTAAGGATCCACATGTTGACATCCTTTCTGCTTTGTGGGAGGGGGAACAGGGCAGAGGGGGAGCTGCACAACTCAGCTGTCTTATGTGGGATGCTATGGGCAACTGGCTGGAAGCACAGATCTTGCTATGGGGCTCTGAAAGTCACTTCTTGGTGGTGGAAGTAGAGGGGAAAACTCTTGCCAAGATGGCACTGACAGATCTGTGGGTCCCCCATTACGCTAGCAGTAATGGACTGATTCCAGATCCTCCAAGTCCTATTGGCCTGGTGCCAACAAGAGCAGCAAACTTGAATCCTTTCCTCCCAATACATGTTGTGGTTTCCTTTCATCCAGATTCTGCGGAGTGAACGACTGGTTCTGTCAACCCTGTGCGGCCATCTCTTCTGCAGTCAATGCCTCCCTGTTGCCATTGAGGTTACCGGGGCTTGTCCAACCTGCAGCAGAGAACTCACTCACAGACAATATCATCCCATTTATATATGAGTACTTCTGTTTCTCAGCACAGATTCAGATGGATTTTGGTGAACAGGTGGTGGAAAGGCTTTTTGCTTCATGTATACAGTTCTCGTTGTATACAGCTCCATTTTTTCCTGAATTTAATTCTAAATGAATTGTTGATTTAAGTATAGTCAAGTCTGTTTGCTCATCTATGTTGGACTCAGCTGGTAGACCAAGACTTCTTGTAACAGGTGGAAATAAAACTCTTTGTTGGATCAGTCAGAAGCATTCGTTCTTTTCATCACACTGAAGTAACTGATTTGACAGAGAAAAAATGCTAAAGGCATAAGCTTTGTAGTTCTTGGGGCAGTGTGTGTTGTGTGGGGAAAAGGAAACAGGCACTGCTTGGGCTGCAAGGACTTCTGTTCCTCAGGACAGACTCAGCTGGATGTTTTGGTGAAAATTTCATGATTTCAGTGTCCTGAGGATTGAAAGAGCGGTAGATTGTGCACATGTCCAAAGAAAGCTATTCCCTTGAAGAGTAACTTGTACATATCTAGGCAGCTTGTTTATGGTCCAAGCTGCTCCTTGTTATGTCCCTGGTTGTAAGGTTCCATTGATGCCTGCCAGCTGATGACAGGAGCACTGCCAGCTTCTATGGAGCTCTCCCCCTTCTGAAAAGCCGGTAAGCTTAAGGGCAATTGCAAGAACATAGCAGTGTGAACTGCTGTGTTCAACATTTAACCTGCAAAATAGAAGGTGCTTTAAGTAGCGAGGTAAAGACATTAAGCAACTGCCGAGGAACGCAATTGCCATTGCCATCACTATCATCTTCACCAGGACCATCGCCATTTGCCTTTTCCACTGCAAAAGCAAATTTTGTACAGAGGGAATGAAGAGCCTGCAGCAGCTCCTAGGTCCAGGGTGCTGACATGGGCTGGCAGCAAGTGTCCCTGTCAGTCACGGGGAGTTACATCAGACATTGCCAGTGAGTGCTGATGGCGTGTACCTGTCCGTATTTCTGGGAGAAAGCATCCTGGTGAACGCACAGGTCATTTCTCCAACTGCCTGCAGGGCTAAGCGAGACCTGCACTTCCCAAGCTCTGGGTTCAGCGCTTGCAAACGTCTCCATCTGCCAGCTGGACGCGGTACTTCACAGCTCAGGGGCTGTCGCTGCTGAAATACCCTTCCCTCCATGGGAGCCCTGCACAAAGGCTCGTCTTGCATTTCTCCTTGAAAAATTCTTCTATTTCATCAGAAGAATTTTCAGTTCCTGGGGATGGAAACCCCAGGATAGAATAAACTTCAGGTATCATTTATGTGACACACCCAGGGTAGACCTAAGAGCATTTGCAATCAGAATGCCAAATTTCTTGCTGCTTGGGGAGAAAGAATAAAAAGACAATGACACTGACATTTCTGCTCTATTCAGAGTAAAAGATAAAAATTTGCTGCCAGTTGTCCTATAGAAAAAGCACTTCTTTCTTTGCAAAGCAACTTTTAATAGGAATTCTTTAGTTTTCTGTTGCAGTTTATGGATTTCATAGGTTGTATATTTGGGAAGCTGTACTTTTACTGCTTCCAGCAGGACTCATGGAAGTACAATCCAAACCACTGCTTTGATTTGGTTTGTTACTAGTGGAAAAAAAAAACGGGGAAGTATGGTATATTTAATTTTGTAATCCTTATTGTAGATTATGGAAGGTTTCTTCAGAGGTTAGGCAGAGAAAAGCATGACCAATACTTTATCCATGCAAGTTTCACTAAATTCTAGAGCAGTATACAGCAAAGAGCTGCACATTACCATCCCCAGTCACCAAGTCATCCATATTCTAAATTCCTAAATGCATAACACTGCACTTTATCATCAGACAACAGGACCACATATTTGTGGTTTCATCACTTCCAGCCCTGTGTGTGCAGTCCACCTCAGCTTTGCAGAGGAGCAATAAAAAGCTGAGCTCCTTTTAGCAAGAGCTAACGGTGTTCTGAGCTCACCCAAATCTATTACTTCGAGTTCCTTAAAATGCATCTCTGTAGATATTTGAGAAGCTACTCTGCCGGCTATTTTGAATGGCTAATAAACTCTCTTTGTGTCATCCTAGTGAAAGGTCTTGTCAGAACACAGTGTGTCCTACAGTCCCTCAACTATGGTAGGCAGAACAGAGGAAATAACAGAATGACGGGGAAGAGGTACTCAGGGATACTACATTTTCTTAATAATCATACTTGATTGTTGCATGGCAGACAGAACTGCAAGGTAAATAACTAGTCTTCAGATAAAGGTAAGGTGAAAATTGTCTTCCTCCAGCGTATAGCATTTTGAGCATCTTTTTGTTTATTTGCAGGATGGCTTATGTTTCTTCTCCCACACGTTCTTCCAGTAATATTAGTCACCTCTGATCCCATTTCACATTCAGATATTGTCAGAGAAGCAGAAAGTGTGCCTCAAAAAGACTTCTTTTTTTTTAACTTTTCCCAGGAATGTGTATCTCTATTGGTTTATAAAAGTCTTTTATCTAATAAGATATTAAAAGCAAGTTATAAATTATGGGTGCTTAACTCTAGAAGAGATTTTAAATAAGAGGACTATTACCATTCAAATCTAACCTGGCCTGGAAGCTGGAGTTAGTATCTTTGACTTTGGAAGACATATAACAGGATCATTAGTGAACAGGAGTGGCCAAGGTGCCACTTCTACAATTCATCCAGTAGACAGCCACTTTAGTAGGACAATATCCTCTAGCCCTAGTCTATAGCACTGGTTCTTTGCCCGCTGTCACAGTACATTTGGATCTCTAAAATTTACAGAGCAACGTACTCTGTAAACTAAACTTTATTTTACAAACACACTAAGAAATGTAACAAAGATGACAGGCAAGGGCTCAATCCCCTTTGCACAGGTTAGTCTTTCGTGAATGCACTAATTCATGACTTAAGTCATGAGATTTGTCACTCACAAGTTGTCTAATCATAATGCTCAACTCATAACTTATTGCCTTTAGCTTTTAACTTGTGCATCTATGAGCGAATTTAGTTACCTGAGTGTTCATCTTGCCTATTCCATTACAGTGTGGGCATTCACTGAAGCACAAAAGTCTCAGCAGTCAAGCTGGTGTTGATTTCCTTTCAAAAGCATTTTGCATAAGCTGATTGGAAGACTTTTCTATACCATTTCCATGAGGTAGCAAATTCTTACAAAATGGCCAGACAATCAATATTCAATATTCAAAAATCAACATTCAGAATGATGGCTGCAGGGCAGAGCAATCTACAGGTGATAATGGCTGCAAAATGGCCTTTTAGCTCTTTCTGGCCACGCCTCCTGCCTGCCTGGTGACACCACTTCCAGCATGCCTCCAGATTTAACGTGAGCTGTGTTAGACGAACATCCAGCAGGAGTTGAGTGAACAGTCACACTCACGCATAGAAAAGTAATGTCTCAAAAGTCACAGTCATAGCTTGATGTCTCAAAATCACATTTCATTTTCTGTGGGGAAAAAAAATTAGAGAATAGTTTTGTCTTTTCTGAACTTCCGAAAAGTGGAGGAAACCCAGATTCAATCCCTAGTCCTCTCTCATCTTGAGGGAAGCTAGGATGACTCCGTGTGTCTGCCGTAATAATGAGGTAAGTCTAAAATTAAACGAAGAAGTCCAGCCAGCAAGGTAAGGCCAGCTTCTGCAAGGGGTGGACATGGGCATAGCTGCAGCATAGCTCAGACAGGGACCAAGGATAAGAGCTGGAGCTTAGTTGCAGCTTCTGAGCAAAAGACAGGAAACCTCGGGGGAGGCATCTCACATCTCTTTCTTGTGCAAGTATTACTCACAAGTTCAGTGCTATCCCAGCAGTCTGATGAAGAGGTACAACATGTATATATTTTCAATAACTAGTATTTGTGTGTAGTTGGGGACTTACCTCTACTTCCGTTTATTGTATGTGTAATAATACAGTGTCAGTTCACATCAAAAGACTTCCCCTATTCAGGTCACATACAGGGCAGCAGCCATTTGCTTTCATAAAACCTAAAAAACCTTAAGTCCATGGTCACTTTCTCAGGTCAAGCCTACATAAGCCAATGAAGTAGATATTACTAGGGAAGGGGGCACTTGTAAATAAGGTTTTCTTCTACAGGAAGCCAAGCTATAAAAATAGAAGTAGGTTCGTTGAAGCAGATGGACTTGTGGAGTACATGTGTAGGTGAGGGGAGAATCAACCTATGGCACTTTTACTTAGGACCAAATTTCTGCTTCAAAGTGATTTATAAAGGTAAATTCACTGCTGCATAAACTTCTCTTTAGTGGATCCTGGAAATCAAAAGCACCAGAATATGACACTGCACTGCTATTCTGAAAGGGATCATTACTTTGGCAAAGGTTGATTGAACCCACTGAACAAATATCTCTAACAAGTAAAAAGTAGTAGGTACAAAACCCATGTATATTTTCAAGGCAGGCAAAAAGGACAAAACAACAAACAAACCCAACAGAAAACAGAAGTGAGTAGCAACTCATACACTTATCACTGAGCTCCAAGAAATACAAATAATTAAATTCACCTGTCTGTCTCTGTTTCTCAAGACAGGTAGGAGTTCTGTTCTTATTGATAATGTGTCTGATGCCTACCCAAGCCATTGTGGATACCTCTGGAAGAACAGCCACAGAACAGCCTTCAGAGATAAGACAACTGCTTTCTTACCAGTATCCCATTTCTGTGCTGACTTGAACTCTATATAGAATTGTGAATCCCTAGGTGGGATGAGGATTGCAAAGGATTAAGCTTTTGTTAATCCAAGCACAGACAAATACAAATACTACTCAAATGGATAATCCATTTTGTTAGCCATGAAGATATCAGTTTTTGATTAAGCTGTCAGAAGGCTTAGCATGGTCTAAAAGTTAAACAAGACA